CGCATCTACATGGCGGAAGAAGACATCCCTCAGCTCACTGGTGAGGCACTCAGGAAGTTCCGTGAGGTTACAACTCTGGGGAATGAGCCCGACCTGGCCAACAAGGCACCACAACCGAGGATCCCAAAGGCGAAGGCATCAGGTGAGCCGAGGGCACCAAAAGTGCCAAGCGAGACTGCAAAGTCGAAAACAAAACCGGCATCACCGAAGGCGAAAGCACGCCCGGCGGGAGCTGAGGCCGATGTTGAAATGAAGCCAACAGAGGAAACTCAGCCCAAAGTACCAAAACGCCCGGCGGGAGCTGTGGCCTCGGATTCGACCCCGACAGCAAAACCAGCTGTCAAAGCCAAGGCCATGCCTCGGGCACCACCGGTGCCTCCCGTTTCGTCGCCTCTTGGGGAAAACGAAGTTGTGGCATTGCAGTCAAGATCGGTTCCGGGTGCTGCCAATTTGGCGAACCTGAACTCGAAACAAGTCTGGATTTCCCGACGCGTCTCGGGCTTGCTCCGAGGGTGGGAGCATAGTAAACAATCCTGGCACAAGGTGCAGCCTCCGAGCTTCGACGCTGGGCTGTGGATGGATTTTGGCAAGGTGTACTCGTTCATCAAGCGGAAGTACGATGTCAACCTTACCAACGATGAACTGCTGACGGTCATTACATCCAATCACAGATTCATGCTCGAGGTGAGGATTGCGCCAAAGGGGACTTTGGTCGGTGGAAAATACCAATATACACCTCTCCGGATCAAAGCGATTCAGAACCATAATGAATGGTCAAGCAACAACGTGCAGGACGCACTTCCTGAGCATGAACGCTTTGTCACTCTCGATGAGGAGTATACTTCGGTGGAGTACCTGGCCGGCAAATTCCCTCGAGTTCCGCGAGGTGCGCTGGGAAAGGTGAAGGAGGTGGCCCCCACCATCCTCTATCACTACACGCACCGGGCAGCACTGGTTGAGATCATCAACATGGGATTGATTCCCGGCGGCAATCGAACTGGAGCCAGGTTCACATTCTTGACGAAGGAAGATCCGTGGACAATTTCGGGCACTGACTATGCAGCGATGGCGGCGACTCGCCCCATCTGCGTTGCCTTGGATCTCCAGATGATGATTCTGAACGGGCACCGGCTCATAGAAACAACTGCTGGTACAATCCTATGCCCTGACTGGCTGGCAAACCGGAACGTGATTTACGTATATGACATGGAGTCCCGATGCTACGCCTTCGCGAACCATGTGTACGCACACTATCGCGGCATCATTACCGGTGAAACAAAAGCATTCAATTCAGCACGCACTGGGGGACCAGTTGCCGATGACGATGAAATGGTGAAAAGCCCACTGGAAAAGTACACCTACCAGGTCCTTGGTGACTATGAGAGGTGGTGTGGAAAGGTGGACACTTTTTCCCCATTCGTGTACGGTGAACTGTTTGAACGCCCAGGCGTGAAAGACCAAATGATATCAGGAAAGCAGAATCCTGATTTGGAAACATACGAGGTCACGTATGTCGTTCGCAGGCCCAATTTCAACGCCTATAGGAACCAGGTGTCGCCCAAAGAGATGCTGCCCAACTACAACCGACCTCGGTTTGATTGGCGCAAGATCCACCCCGAGACTGAGGGCTATGGCAACACTCGATGGATGGTCGTTGAGGGCATTCAGATGCCAGAAGATCAGTGCCCGACATGCACAAATACCTACACCCATGGCATGATGTCCTGCATCACGTGCGGCACCTTCCTCAACAATGCCTCGGATCTGTGTAAAGCTGCTCAGCTCATTCGGATCGAGGAAATTGCAGCAGATCTCGGTATCGAAGTCACGATGGACATGGTACCTGAGGACAGGCTGCAAGGAACAGGTGTGAGGAGGACGCCGGCGGGGACGCCTGGCCATGAAGTTCAACGTGCTTCTCGTTCGGGCATCAACATCTTGAAAGCGAACGCCAAAAGCCATGTCCAGAAGGCGGATAAGATGTCCATGACGGTATCGCAGCGACAGCTGACTGACGCTTTCTACGCGTTCAACTGTGCAGCCCAGGACCTCTCCCCAATCTGCATTCAATTCCTGGAACGACTGTCAGATGCCATCATCCCTGATCCTCCGAGGACAAGGGAAATGATTGCTCGTGGCGTCGGTCATCGATACGCTGGTAAAGTCATCTTCATGAACGAACCAGCAAAAGGGAATGATGCTGACCTGAGCGAGGACTTCTTCATCTATTGGAAGAACAGGCTGCACCGTCCTGAGACTTTCGCTGCGGACTATTGTCAAGGTGCGAAACGACCCGCAATCCTGGGATTTGGAGGTGAATGGCGAAGTGAGAAGACGGACCCTGATGATGTGTTGGATGAACTCCTGGAATTCGTGATGGGCGATGCTCAATTTGTACCTGGCTTGGATATCAACCTTGTGAAAGAAACAAGGGCACTTGTGATTCCCAAGGCCAAGGCCGCACCAGGCCCAGGTGAAAGTCTGGCCAGAGCAACACGTACTCAGGCCGAGACATCAGAGCAACGCTGGCGAGGAGCTGCCGGAAGTGATCAATACCATGATTGGCAGCAGTCATCCTCATCGTCTTCCTGGTGGTCCTCATCCAACCGCAACTGGTGGCAAGATGATCGCGGTCGTGGCAGTGACTGGCGAGGACATGACTGGTGGAGTCAGCGCAGGTGGTGAACACGACGCACAGCGGGAGCTGTTGCCTGTGGAGAAGAGAATGAAATCTACGGGTGACTCGGCTGTCATTGTGCACTGTGTTTTTCCCTCAACGCACCGCGGGAGCGGTTGCCTGGATGACCGTTTCTGTGATGCACCGGGGGACCGGATGCCTGAAACCAGCAGCTAATTCGTTTGAGTTCAGGTCGATGAACTTGGCTCTCAATCCTTGCAATGAAGAGCGCACATCTTTTGCTGTGCTTTGTCGCCACGCGGGAGCGTGTGCCTTGATGGCTTTGTTCCTGCTTTCTAAAAGGTTGGCACTGCACTCCCAGTTCCGCTGCGCAAAAGAGATTATCTTTGTGAGCTTGCTTTGAACTTTCATGCATGAATCAGTTGAGACATGTTCAACCCTAGCATCAAAGCATGACAGTGCATTATGTGATCCGTCCTTGAGGTCAACCATCCTCTCCATCTCAAGGCACGTTCCGGTTCGATGCTTCGCAGTACCGGGGGACCGGATACCTTCGTAGGTCCTTAATTAGTGCACTGTACATAACTTCACTCCTCCCATTTTCGTTCAGCGGGGGGTGTTGTTTCACGCTAGGATGTCGTATACATGTCTCACTTACCTACTGTTTGGCTCAAGGAAAACCAGGTGCGACTTGTTGGTAGTTCTCGGTCGTTTACCTGTATCTACAGGATCATTTCTTGAAGCAGACCGGCTGCAACGAGGGCAGCCAGTGGAAATAGCTGCTTCCAAAGCAGCCGTGCACGCCTTGCTTGACTTTGTATATGGCGGGCAACCTGAGGTGACCCTGGAGCCTGGTCTTGAACTCCTACGACTGGCCGAGGCCTACGACTTGCCAAAGCTAGCAGGTGCGATTGAGGCAGGCTTTCGCTTCTCCTTGGATAGCAATACGGCCCTGCAAGTGTTGCAGGAAACACATGGCCTCCACGCTTTTAAATCTGCATGTGAAGAGAAGGTTGCCGAGGACTTTGAGACTTGCATCCTGACCCAAGACTTTGGAAAGCTTAGTGCACTTCAGCTGGCACGGGTTTTGAAACGAGAAGACTTGGGCGTTTCTCGAGAGGAAGCCGTGTTGAAGGGCATATGGAATTGGCTCAAAATCTCCAACGAAAGAAACACTTTCCTTGGTATGCTATTGCAACATGTTGACTTTCAATCTATTTCTGTTGAGAATTTGCTTCGACTTGGACATTTCACGCTCTCCGGCCCACATGGAGGTGACATGCACCGTGAAGTTGATGATGCTTTGCGAGTTCGGCAACGAAAGAGAAACCCAAGCTGGAGCGCATGGGCATGCAACTTTCGGCCAAAGAGGCGCTGTTTGCAGCATTGGTCACCAGATCTGGGTGCCAGCGCTGAAGCTGCAGGACGAGAAGTGCTGCCAATACCATGCATTTCCTTGTGCTGGCATGAAGGTGCCATATATGCCATGAACTCCCACAATGACGTCCTTTGTTGGAGGCTCAGCGAGCCAGCAACCCCTGCACGAAAAATTGTAGATCGCGGAAACACCAGAGTGAACATAGGCCCAAGCCGACACCTGGCCGTGTCTCCTACCGGAGAGCTTTATGTGGCAGATGAGTGTGATGAGTCCCTCACACGTTTCCAGGATGGATCTGGACAAGTGCTACTTGACCATCTTGGCGATGATTTCACAATATGTTGCTCACCTAACGGAGTGCTTTACGTGCTGAACTGCATGGATGACACACTGCAGAAATTGGTGGGCTCGACATTCCAATTGATGATGACGGGAGTTACATTCTATGCGTGCAGGATGTTTGCAACCAAGGAGGAGGTGATCTATGGCATTTGTGCTGAAAGCAATGAAGTTGCGCGCATCAATCCAGCTGATCCATCCAATCCTGTTGTTGTGCTGGGACAACTCCGGAGCGACACGGATACGGAGGAATGTGGTCTCGGGGATTTGTTCGTCACTGAGGGTGGAACGATCTATCTTTCGGACTTTGTTCAAAAAAAGGTGTGGGCCTTCCGTCCAGACGATGCAAGTTTCACGGAGGTGTTGGAGTGTCCGAACGGGCTGAGACCAAGGGCAGTTTTGGTTCAGGACAGGTCTCTGTATGTGGGCATGAAGGACCTACACGGCAATACCGGGGGCCTTTACCAGTACTTGTTGCCGCCTGAGCTGCAGCTTGAGTGAAGAGCATGAACTGCCGACAGATGGATGCCGGCGGCATGCGTGCGTGCTGCAGTTGAAAAAGGGGGTTTGTTTCTTTGCATCCAGAATTGTTTTTTTCATGATTCTTTGTTTGCTGCGATGGGTTCTCCTTGGGGCGTGCCGCAGGACGTGCCCACCTTTTGGCAGCACTGGGGCGAGCTCTTTGCGGAGTCTCCGAGCCGCGCGGTGCTGGCCACGAACAACTTGATCTTGTCGGAGCAGCGCCTCGGACCCCGCGGTCCTTCATCCAGAGGGCTCCATCCGCCTCCGGGGTTCCGTCTGTGGTGGTGGAAGGAGGCGGGAACCGCCGAGTCGTTGGACACATCGCCTGTTGAAGCACCAGAACCTGCCGCTGTCAAAAGCCAGCCTGTGGCATTGATGGTTTCTCTTCAACGAGCCTTGTAAAGATTGCGGCTCCTTGCAGGGGTGACAGGTATTCCAGAGGGTGTTCAAAAATGGTGATGAACGGGTCTGGTTTCCAAAGTATGGTTTTGCATATGGATGACAAGTATATAAGCCGTTTTGCTCTCTCGGTTTGGGTGGAGGGATACGGCCTCAACACACACGCGCCGCACACGCGCCTCTCCGCGCTTCCCACGGAGAGGCGCAGCATGCGACGTTCCGCATGAACTGGAATGATGGGACTCTCTGACGAACACATCACATGGAAGTGGAAATAATGGCCTCTTGGAAGACTACTTTCCTTTAACAGGAGGTTTTCCACTTCCATGTTTGTGAGTCGGAGGTTTTCGCGCTTAGATCAGGGCATTCGCGCTTTCTTGTTTGCACTTGTATGCACTTGTTATTCTTCCCATGTTTGGTCTCTGACCAGCGTTCCCAAGCCACATACATTTTTTCTTGGGTCACGCGTTGTACCGTGAGGACCCGCCACCATGGTCAAGGTTTTACTGCAAGTTGCGTTCCACTAAGGGCCCTAGGACCAAGACATTGGAGGCCTCAGCGGTTGTAGTGTTCCTTTGTAGGTTCTTTGGACCAGCGGTGCACTCGGGCAGCCCTTGGGTGGAAGGGTTATGTGGGAGGTATCAACATGTTCGCGTCCAATGGTCCAAGTGGACAATACTCCTTTGCGACTCTTGGAGAGTGGGACGGGTTGACCTAAGATAATTAATCTATGTCATGTTGTCCGGTCGATGTTTTCGCTGGTCCAGCTCAGTATCTGCGGCCCATCTCTCTCTCTCTCTCTCCCTCCCTCCCTCCTTCCCTCCCCTCTCTCCCTCCCTCCCTCCCTCCCTCGCTCGGCCCAGGATCTTCTACCAGACTGGGCGTCGCCTGCCCTACGTGCGGGCGCAGGGGCTGTATACTGAGGCGAGGGACGCTGAGGCGGTTGAAGTTGTTCTCGCTCCTTTTGTTGGTTCCTCAGACTTCTGAAGTAAGGGCCAGTCAATGAGACACGATGCTTGGGCCAGCGGAACAGGTTTCAAACAGTCCTGCTTCAACAGGACCACATAGTCATACAACTCGAAAAGCACTGACAGCCGCAGATGATGGATAACGGGCACCCGGGCTAAGTGGCGTAGGGCGTCCTTCTGATTTCCGTCCCTTCTATCGAACAGTTCCTCCGGCGGCACTCCGCCCACACCCGGATCGGTCGCTCAGCGAGCTCGCGTTCGAGCGAGGAAAGGCCGCGTTCGAGCGAGGAAAGGCCCTTGACAGATCGAATCCAATTCCAACACTTTGGCGGACATGATGAACTTTTGGGGGCCGCTCCTGAAGTGGTGATGAAAGGAAACCCCGCTCCAACTACCCCGCAAGTGCGCATGTAGGTGGTCTATTCCCCGCAGCTGGTTGACCAGATCCTCTTCTGGAGGTGCGCGTCACTAGTCGTGTGCCGATGGACTTGGCATAGCAGCGGAGAGTGGTACTTGTAGCTGGCGTCCAGCCCAAATATGAAGGGACCTTGAAGGCATGCTTGGATGCCATTTGTTTTT